GTCCCTCTGTATGGCATCCCTTCCCTCCAATGTATCGATCACATCACACAGTTTGCTGTGGCTGACAAACTTTCTGAGGGTGCACTCCATCCCATTGTCTACGTCACTGACAAAGATGTTAAACAACACTGGCCCCAGTCCCGAGCCCTGAGGAACACCACTCGTCACTGGTCTCCACTTGGACATCGAGGTGTTGACTGCAACTCTTTGAGTGTGACAATCCAACCAAATCCTTATCCACCGAGTGGTCCATCCAACAAACCCATGTCTCACCAATTAAGGGACAAGGATGTCTTGCTGGACAGTGTCAAATGCTTTGCAGAAGTCCAGGTAGATGACATCAGTTGCTCCTCTCTTACCCACCGGTACTCTAACACTGTCGTAGAAGGTCACCAAATATCTCAGGCACTATTTGCCCTTAGTGAAACCATGTTGGCTGTCACCAATCACCTCCTTATTTTCCATGTGCCTTAGCATAGTTCCCAGGAGGATCTGGGAGGATCCCTGTACACCATGATCACCTGCCCCACTGCAGAACGCACCTGCACTGGAGCTGATCACCTCAGATGATAATAATGCAGAGCCATGCACTGCAGCAGAGGTAACGCACAGGCCAGACCCGCATTGACCCTTCCATGACTTATCTGAGCACCCATATCCTACACCAAGTGTCTTGTTCTAGTACAGTATGGACCATGAGATCTAGTTTCAGGTGACCTCCCAAATTCTTTTCAGAAGGGGCAGGATAGACCTCTGAGAGCATTTAACAGCATAAGCCAGTTATGCCTCCTGCGTAGCATATTTCCGTGTTTTTGGTGCAGTATATAGGGGAGAGGAATACCACTGTCATATAATATACACACCTTGCTTCTTACCCATTAATTACCGGGAGCAGCTCTAAACTCATTTTATGCAGAGCATGGTTCATATTTATGTAAGATTAACTTGACCTTGATTTTACTAAATTTGGAAATAGAACAAAACGTCCTACACTGCTGCTTCTCAGATGTATTTGTGAAGTGCCTTGAACATTTACAGCACGCTAACTCCTAAATGTTAAATATCATGATGTCAGGTGAAGTGCCATTGGTGCAGAAGTGAAAATGGCGGCATTGTAACATTCTCAATGTACTGCAATCAATCACTAAAATATTCTTGTTTGTTTCCACGTAGCACAACTAAAAGCAACTGGCGACACACAGTTGCGTCTAGCCCAGTATCTAGAGAATAAAGATGAGTTTTTCTAATTACTTCTGACTTCAAGTTTCCATACTCTGGAAAGTTTTCTTCACTGTAAAGTACTAAAAAATTTTATGCCAGGTTACAGGTGCCAGGTAACCGTGCGATACAAATGAGAAACGATGAATTTTGCCTAGTACTCTACTGGAATACTGCTTACTCTGCTTCAGATTAATTTGCATTTAGGTGTGGGAATTTTACAAATGTGATATGACAGCTCAAAATATTACTTTTCCCACATGGACAAATGTCAGGAAAATTATCCATCTGCATTCAGAACAGGACCCAACTTGCACTGTTGCCTCCAATAAGATGGTGTCTGATGTCATTCAGACAAACAGATGCATTCATTTCTTTCCCAGGGTGAAATAAGAAATATTTGTAAGTGACGGCGTATTTATCACTCTGAAACAAGAAATATTTGTAAGTGATGGCATATTTATCACTCTGCTAGTGCTAGTTTCATCCTTGTATCCTATGAGCCTTCTCAAAATGTTCAGGTATGCCAATTTGAGAACTTGCTCAATAAAATTTACTTTCCATTCTGCTTAATCCATCCAAATATTACTGAGGTCTTATCAAGGAATTTCCACAAGAATTAGGAGGAAGTGCCACGTTATTATTTATTTATTTATTTATTTAGCATCCTAAAGAACACAGCTGTCCTGAAGGTGGATCAATAATAATTCCTTAATGAAAATGCAGGTCCAAACAGAATGCCCAGTCAGAAAATACTGCCTTCTAAACTAATCTGCCTTACAGATAAGTAAATTCACTAAACAACCTGTTAAACAAATACTATCATGTTTACTTTCCACAATGCAAGAAGTGTAAAAGCTAAGAAGCATTCCCAGGAACAAATAAAACACAGTAATTACTTTTTTAAAACAATTGTAGGAGCAATAATACAGTGTTTTGCATCTTGGACTACCTATATTAAGCAAATAACAGTGCAGAGTAAGCTGAATGTCGAATAAATACTGTAGATTATTTGCTGCTGTTTATGCCTGTGCCATTCAATTCTGATTTTCTGCATATGTCCCATTTCATCAGGTCATATCAAATCATGTTTGGTCAGTGTTTATTAATTCAGCTTAAATCCAGTCATGTGACATACACTTCAATGCACTTAGTATTAAAAAAACGCTTTCCGTAATTCCAGCTATTTTAAAACACGAATAAAAATATCCGATTACCCAGTGACTTGCTTGTCAAGTTTATTGCATTTCAAGCATGTTTTTACTTAAGGTATTGAGCAGTCATTTAAAATACTATTCCCCTTTACTTTTAAATTGCAACCCACAAACTACTCAGGAGTTGGTTTCCTCTCTTTGTAAAAGGAGTGACTTGAGCTAATGCTAATGGGAATTATTGAGGCGTACCATTAAAGTTTTAGACAGCCTCAAGTTTCCAACAAGACTAAGTACTGCCGTGCCACTTAATGACTATTTTGCGAAATGTAAAAACTTAGCAAAGGAACATAAACATTTTTTCCTTCTACTCTGATATGATTAAGTCTCATTTCAGCTGTACATATGGGACAACAAAAAATTAAATATGTACATTATATTCTGTAAGCATAGTTACATCCAGAAAAATAAGGAGTGGGGGGAAAGGAGGGGATGAAGAGAAAAAAAAAAAAATTAATTGGTTTACCTGATACTGTACAGCACTTTTCCAGTTTTAGAAATTCTCAGCAACTTATTGTCTGTTGTAACATCATGGAAGTTTGCTCCCTTCTCATTGGCAAAGAATAAATCTGGCTTCCAAATAGAGTCCAACATAGAGGGATCCAAATCCAGGGAATCATCGGGATATTCGCTGTAAGCCAGACGTGAGTCGTTCCACTGCTGTCTCAAAAAAATGTTCACTCTGTAGTCCTACAGAAATGCCATGTAAAAAGGTTACTAAGCCACTTACCAAAACTAGAAGCCCACTTTAGCTCTCTTTATGCTCTTAGACTTACTACAGCACCTGCGTTACAGCAAGCATTTATGTTATCCTTTGAACATAAGAGTTGTCATTTGAAAATAAAGCAGTCTAAATGCTGTATTGAAACAAACACAACTGGTATGTTTTTCAAATAAAAATTACTTCAGTGATGAAAAAAATATTAACTGCAACCTCCAATATTAAATATAACCCTTTTTCAAATGCTATGGATTGACTCAGAGGTACTTAGAAAGTCAGAAAGCATTGCAGCTAGATATATACAACTTCAACAAAGATCCTATAAAACTACTAATTTAAATAAATTACTTCCAATACGTAAATCAATTATTTCTAATGTAGTCATGAATAGTTGCTAATTCCAGCCAGAAGTCAGATTTGTATAGAAGAAATTAAATCAGCACTTCTTATTTACTGTTTGTATCCTTTTTCTATCTAGCATATGCTTTCTTCTGTATCTTCCTTAATTCACTCTTCCCTCTCTGCATCCCATTAAAATTGCTCTAACTGTGTTCTTCTACTCAGTGGCCTGCTAGTCAGAACTGGGAAAGACAGCAATTATTTAGAGGTTCATTTAGAGCCAACATTAATGCTGTGTCAAGAACTGGCTGTTAAAGGGGAGTGTGAAAAGAGCTTTTAGGATCTAAACTCTCTGGAGGGAATGGAAAGATGCTAATGCTTATTCTCCTTACCCTGAATGTCCAAAGTCAGCAAATAAGAGCTTCACCTCCCCCAGCTTTCCCTGCTACTATAGCATATTTACCTGAAATTACTACATTTATCTTGCTTGTGAACACTCTCTTAGAAATACATCTACTCTTCCTTTAAAAGGAAAATATTTAATAATGTTTATATCGATTATATTATCTGAAGGAATATCTTATCAAATAATTCTGCCAATTATTCAAACCTCTGATATTTAGGATTTACTTTACGGTATCCACAGTACATTTAAATAGCAACACTGTGCTTTTGACTTGGAAAATGTATGAGCTGACCTGGATTTAGTTAGACCACTGAACTACATGATCTAAAGGATTTATCGTCCTTGAAATGTAAATGAATATTCTCACTCTGATTAGAGCTGTAGAAAGCAGCTTGCCCGATACGCGGACCCTGTGAACGAGCCCCTCCAAGCTTCAGCATTTCCCCCCCTTTGTTCGGTAGGTTGGTGAGGAGGTGCATTGCTGCCCTGAGAACGTTTCTGACATCCAAATCGATGCAGTTTTTGAACCCAATAGGATGATGCTTTGCAATCTCACTAGGACCATGATTTTTCTTGTTTTCTTTATGATTTTCATTTTGCTGTTGGGTAGATGTGAGTCAAAACAGGAATGTATACTAATCAGAGCAGGACAGACCTGAGAGAGGTCTCAAGAACAATGCATTTATTAAAGATACTTACAAAAGCCTGTATCTGTTTTTCACAAGCCACTGTACTTTTTATGATGGTGTTGTTTCATACAGTTAAAGATTAAACAGATACTTGCAGTTCTGAGCTTATAAAATGTCATCACATCTTGGGAGGGTACACTAACCCTAAGCATACTTTCCCTTGTTTCTTGGTTTCAGAAATCAGGAATGTCTTAGAAGTTTATATGGGATAGTTACAAATCCAGAAAAGCACTTGATTTTCATTCTGCAGAAAAGGAGGCAGGAGCTGTCGTCAGCAACTGCTGACAGAATAAAATTTCTACAACTAGTTATACAACTGCCTTTAGTTTTCCTTTGAAATAAGATACGTAATTCAGTCTATGGAAAGTAGTGGGATTTTTTCCCCCCACGACATAGAAATCATAAATAAATCAAATCAGTAAATTGTTTAGAAATATCTAAAAATACATGTGCTTTCATGAACTTCAGTAGTTGGTGATTCAGATAACAAAAACCAATCTGAAAAATCCTTATTCATAGAAGAGCTTGCATATGATGATATATATTATACCAAGAGCATAAATAATGCCAGTGGGATTACAGTATCTTTTTCAATATGTACCTTCTTAAATATATCAGGCCATCACATCGATACACTTCGAAGTACTTTCTCTCTGCAAGCTTTGTTAGAAGCAAAACAGCACTTAAATCTTGATTTATGTCTGACAGGCTTTGTACATAAATGTATATGTGTATGGATATTTTAATAAGAAAAAGAAATGGAAATATCACTTGCATATCACAAACCCCTCATTACTTTTTTTCTTCTATGCTTGCGGTGTAAGCAGTTGAGAGGGATGTGTGTTTACACAGTCAGACCTAATCATGTGTAGAATTTTGAATTTACTTTTCCTGTGCTAACATTGTAACTATCTTCTGAAGAAAAATTCCCCTGAGAATGGTATCACAACATGGAGCTCAGGTAGACTACAGTGTGTATTTTGCAAGCTCCTGAGGGTAGAAGTGGGTGGACTGTAGTAACGGACTCCTACACAACCACAAGTACACCTGCTCCACAAATTCTTTCTGACAGCACAACTGCTCTGAACGAGGAGTGTGGACCTGAAGATGCAATCTCAGTTGCAACATCGATGCCAGCAATAGCTCAAGGCAACTCAGATAAACAGTTTTCCTCTATTCTCAAGCCATAAGATCAGAGTAATACTAACATACTGAGGAAATATTCATCTGATTAGTTTTAGTAGATTTCGGTGAAGATTGAGGGACTCAATCCACAGATACGCTTAGTCTGTGTTACAGGAATCTAGATAGAAATGGTCTTTCTGCAAATCCACGGCCATCAGAGTCACTGCTCAGAGCTTCAGCAAAGCTCTGGGTCCCTTTGGTCTCAGGCACTGCTGTGGCAGGGGGGTGCAGGGGAGCCCCGTTCCCTCTTCAGTGCGGCTTTCTGTCTCTGAACTGATGCTCATTTTAGATCTTAGCCTTCCTTCCATCGTCCTTTCCAACAGCATCAATCTCCCACGTGTTGAGACAGATGTCTGAGGCAAACTGCAAACTTAGCTGGCCTTCCATGCTTGCCAAAGAGACTACTCTCTCCATCTCTAAATCCTAAATATGAATGCTAACTGAAAAGTAGTGGTTTAATGACCTGTTTCAAGGCCATGTGACAGAAAAGCACTTGGTTACCTATGTATCTAAGAGTGCAAGGTGTCCACAATGGCTTCAGCGGGAATCTCTTATGCAGTTAAAACTATACATGTGCATTAATCAGGATCTAACAAGCTCATTTGTAATTATGTTTTTTCTAGTGGGAAGATAATATCACACAGTCAGCCACAGCCAAGCTTTTAAAATAAAGGAATGGCAATTTTTTCTGCTAACGTAAGTACTCAACACACAACTGGAGTTTGATGCATTTACCCCAACAGAGAACCTGCTGCATAGTGCCAGTCATTGATTACAGGGCACAACGACAATAATAATGTCCTCCCAGTTAGCCATTTCTGTAATTAACAATTAGTTCGTCAACGTACAAACTGCTCTTAGCTTCTCCTACAGCTGATAGCTAAAAAATCCTGGTCATTAGCAATACTGAACATCTGAATTCTTTGGGACTCTGCCCAGCCTGATGTCGATTACTCATCTGTGATACTCAACTGCAGTCATGCTGTACAGTGAATTTTCTGCTGAATACTGCATGTGTGAATGCTTCCAAAAATAGATACAGAGCTTACTGACAGAACTGCTTTATTCAGTGAAGTTACTCAGGAACAACTTTTTTGTTGCAAGTTAGGGCTTAAATGAAAGACAAGGGAATCAATGAAGAAAATTTCCAACAATTGCATCTTGATTCTGGCCTTTTTTTGCTATTTTTATATTGGTATAATATATATCATTCTAACACGGAACAAAAATAATTTCTTTTTGAGGGAAAAAAAATAATCAATTGTGGTACTGTCCCGTACATGCTTTGTAGTCTGGAAAGAGTAGTACATAGGCATTTTGTTTCCCTAGATGTTTGTGAACAAAATTCATGAAGACTCTATGGAATTCACTCTATGGATTTCATCCATTTGGAGAGAACCAGCACAAAATCCTGTTTTATTTCTGAATGAAAGGTTTTAGCTCTTAGAAGAATAGGCGGTACATAAGAGCTGTGCTGGCCTTTCGCACAGGGATGAATTTCATCCTGGTGTGTGTCCTAAATAGAAAACAGAAGCTACTTCAGCTAATGTTATTGAGAACCTGGTTTACTGCATTTAGTAGGTCTGGGGCTGTAATCCTGTTTGCCATGTTCATTTCTCCTACTGAAAGTTTCTCTAAACACGTTTTCGTCTCCCAAGTTTCCAATGAGCTGTTGTAGATCATTCAAGTTATATTCTGATAATGTTCCTTCAGTACATTTACATGGTTTCACCAGGAAAATGAGGCAGGAGCGTCTCTATTGAATTTGCAATCCAGAGTTTTAAATGAATCATTTAGTTTTATGTCAAAACCATCAATAGCATTTTATAGGGAAAAATGAATCCTAGGAGTCAAACAAAACTCATTTATCACAAGGGATGCCAACATTTTTTACCACATGATTACATCTATTTCAGAAAGGCAAAGTAGATGGAACAGTAATTGATGTCTGCCTCTCAGAACAGTTTTAAAACATCCTAAAACTATAAAACATCCTAAAACTAGTCACACTAGTCATTAAAGAAGTGACAGCATTAAGAAAATCAATATCAAACCATTGAACAGTATCCAAGAGAAATCTTCCAACATTTTTGACAGATATTACGAACAAAGCAAAATAAGAAAGCCAATAGTCTTTGTTTTCATCTACTTGAATGTTTGTCTGTTTTCAGCAGAATGTGTTAATGAACATTGGAAAGGTGCACATTAACATATTTGATAGAAGGTAAAATGCAATGAGGGGATTTAATCAAAGCAATGAAGGAGTCTAATTAATGCAATCAGCATTAGGTCGTGCAAATATTTTCATTGAATGCCATCTTGTAAAGCCAGTGACGTGCAGGATTTTAGCTACTTAATGCTATGCTGATGCCGCTACACGCTGGGATCAATAGACATGGCTGGGTAAAGAAGGTTACATTCATAGCTATCTTCTCAGAATCCTTTAAAGATAGGAAAACAAATGAAGTTTTCCAAAAAACTGAAAATTACGTCTGTTCTTAATTATGTTGCATCAAGATACGTTTTTTTAACTTGATTATAATTGTCTTTCAAGGTGTTTTTAAAATATTACAGATACATACTCTAAAGCATTAGCATATCTGTTTTTTTTATAGCTCTGTATGTTATGGCTTCTCATTTATAGAAGAGTCTTTCCCACACTATTTAAGAAAGCAACCTGCCCTAGCAATAGCTTGCCCTTTATCTCTAGAAAACATTAAATAACAGGGTGTTTTTTTAGATAAAAATGTTTAGGAGCGGAAGATTTGTGTTCCCACATTCCTTAGGCACCATTTTCTAAAATGATGGCATGAATTACAATTAAATTTAAATGAAATATTTGAATATTAAACAAAATAATTAAGTTGGGCTAAATATCTGCTCTTCCTTCATAATGCAAGGACTGCAAGGCAGTATCTATCCCATTTTATAAAAAAATACTTCTTTGTTACACCTTAAGTTCATTTTTAGTTACCAAGAACTCAGTCCTACAGGATGATAAGCAACTTTATTGTCTTTGCCTTCAGGAAATACAGAAAGATCTGGACACTGTGTAGGAATCCCCGGAAAACAGAGTTGTGAAACTACATTGAAATTGCTCCAGAAGTGTCCATAGTTGTCCATAGTGTCCTGAGGCAATGAGAATAATTCTAAAATTTCACTGAAGGTGAGAGCACCCATTTTTAGTTTATTTTGTGGCAGAAGTGACTTGAACAGTGCAAAGTCAAGCTGGGATTTGTCACTAAATCCTTTCTAGAATGGGTTTAACCCACTTCTTGTATATAAGCACCTGATAAATATTATGAGTTTATCACATTGTTATAAGAAAGCCATTAAAAGTCTCTCTTTGGACTAAACCTAGTAGTCAGGTGTATGCTTGAATTAATAACTGATCTATTTTATTCATTCTTTGAAAGAAAAGATTAAAAAACTCAGCATTTTTTTAAATGGACTCAGAAAAAGTATTTTTCATTTTTCTTAGCAAATATTGAAAAAAAAGAAAATTCACTTCTAGTCTAAAAAACTAAAAAGTTGGACTAAAATTTTCATTTCCATTTTTTATTGACTTCATTAATCATAAATTTTAACAATTTTTAAAAGAAAAATCTCATCTTGCAATGAAAGAGTGAACTATTTATTTTTATACATATAAAAATTAAAACTGACATTTTTATTTTGGCCTTGTGTTTGTGACTGATGGTGTTCTTTGATTTCAGTTAAAATACACATTTCAGTCAACTGGGATGCCATCATTTCCTAGTACCAATTTAACGCTCAAAATACCCAGGTCCCTTTGTATCTATATGTTTTAGTCCTTTGACTCCAGTTATACATTCACTTCAGTTACTGATGCTGCTGCAATGCACAGGGATTTAGCTCAGTTAAACAAGACCGCTCTAGTAGCTCTGTCAGCACAGTCTGCAGCAGCAGATAATTCAGACGGGGTGTAAGACCCACTCAAAATATGGAATACATGGCAGGGAGCCCCACAGCTGAGCTCCAGCCATTCGTCTGCCTCTTCAGTGCTCATAAAACCTGAGAAAGCTGATATGCACAAACCTGTATTTGCTGCCATCACAGTCACTATAGACTATGGTGCAGTCACCACGTAGGTACATTTAGACTTGGTAGTTGAGTTTAATACTTTATATGTCTCTTTATATAGTTATTTTACATTTATTTTATTTTAACTAAGCTGGTAGGGTTTTAGTGCCTTAATAACTTATTAAATGTCCCCACATCCTGAGCATCTCTATTCTACATCACATCCCACTCCTTCACAAGATGGCTTCAATGACCAGTCCCACTCACCATTGTAGTTTCTGCTATTGAACCAAAGCTGTTGATAAATATGTTGCAGGTAACATTTACAGGAGGACCTGCAAGTTGAACAATAAATAGAAAAATTGACAGGTTGTGTTCATGACATGTATTAAGTATTGTTGTTCTCTTGCCAATGGCATCATAGCACTTACCATTGTGGTTTCTGTGACTGATCCAAAACTGTTGATAAAAATATTGCAAGTAACGTTTACTGGAGGACCTGTGGAATGCAATAAAAATGTTGCAATATACGTTGAAACAAAAGTACAGATCCCTCAGCCTCCGTACAATCTGGTACAGATGTGGCTGAAAACAAGTAGAATGTGAGTTTTCCCAAACAGATCATGTCAATATCCATCAAAAGAAAAACAGTATCAACACTAATGTAATTAACCTAATTTCATTGGAAATTGTTATATAAATACACAGAACCACATCCTTGCATTTAAGGGTTTACGAGCAGAGTTGGGTGATGGCATAACAGCTTTTCCTTTATCCACAGTACCAGCGCAGAATATGCTTTAGCATTGCAGCCACTCCTCTCTCCCTTCCTTCTCACACTTGAAATTAAAAGATTGTCTTTCCACACCTATTCCACTCTGTACACAAAGGCTTGCCTCTGAAATTCCCAGCAACGGCCACTTTTCACATTGACTCCAGTCCACTGAAATTGGACTCAGACAAGCAGCTCTTAGTGCACCTGATCCGGAGATGTCTGCCTTGCCATAAACAAATATTTTAGCAATCTCTGCCCTGGCTTGACAGTTTTCATTAAACAGTAATTTGTAATCTCTTCCCTCCCACCTCCTTTCCTGCTATTCAACAGTCACTGACGTGTAGCAGAATGAATGGGGACTTAATATTTAATCAGTTGTCTATTAGCCTCCTAGTTTTTTTAGGCGTGACGAAATAAACAGAGGTTCTCAACTGAATCAAAAAGGATTAATGCTAAATGCCTGAATTTCAGTGACAGAAAAGTTGATACAAGCATTGGGTATCAAGTACTTTCCTCTCTCTTTTCTCGTTATTTTTAATGACATAATTTTCCTTATATTAAAAAAAAGTCCGTGCACAGAATACAAATAGCTATATTTGGTTTCATATTTAGATCTGAAATTGCTTTACAAAAGAAGGAAACATTATTACTTTCTTTTTTGAAAAATGGAAATACAAAGTAATATGCCCAGTGAAATCCAGTACACTATCAGTTTCCTGAGTGCTAGACCACTCACCTTCGAGGAAACATGTTAGATTTAAGAAGAAAAACCACAACAGTAATGTGTTTTGAGGCCGTTAAGTTCCAATGGGATATGTTGTTCAAGTCAGTTTTTGCAACAATTGTCTTTAAAAAACACTTCCTGGGTGTTTTCACTTTCAACATCAAGCTAAACCAAGCCAAATAGTCTGCTATTCTCATTCCGTAGTATTTTTTTTTTTCTTTTTAGTTGATGGTATTTCTACTAGCTGGGTAGCTTGACCAACATATTTCTCTACCTCTAAACAAACAGAATCACTGACTTATTGAAGTTGGAAGGAATCTCTGGAGATCACCCAGTCCCCTTAGTCCAGTTCGTCCCAGAGAAGGACCAGCTAAAACAGGTTGCTTAGGACCATGCCCCATCAGGTTTTGAATATTTCCAGGGATGGAGACTACAATTTCTCTTGTCAACCTGTGCCAGTGCTTAGTCATTTTCATAGTAAAAGGCTTTTGTTATGTTTAAGTGGAGTGTCCTGTGCTTCAGTTTATGCCCACTGCCTCTTGTCCTGTAACTGGGCACCACTGAGAAGAATCTGGCTCCAACTTCCTTATTTACCCCCCATCAGTTATTTATGCACATGGACAAGATCCCCCTGAACCTTCTCTTCTCCAGGCTGAACAACCTCAGCAACATCAGCCTCTTCTTGTGTGACAGGTGCTCCAGATCTTTAATCATCTTCGTGACCCTTTGCTGGGCCTATTCCAGTAAATCCATGTCTTTTTTTGTACTGGGGAGCTCAGAGGTGGACCCAGCACTGCAGATGTGTCTCACCAGTACCGATCAGAGTGAAGGATCCCCTCCCTCAACCTGCTGGCAATACTCTGCCTGACGCAGCCCAGGAGGCTATTGGCCTTCTTTGCTGTAAAGGCACATGGCTAACTCAGCTCATGTTCAACTTGATGTCCACGAGGACCCCCATGGCCTTTTCTGCAAAGCTGCATTCCACCTGGTCATCTCCCAGATTTTCCTCCCCAGGTGCAGGACTGCATTTTCCCTTACTGAATATCATGAGGCTCCTGTTGGTCCATTTCTGCAGCCTGTCCATCTCCCTCTGAACGGCAGCACAGCCCTCTAGGGCATCAACCATTCCTCCCAGTCTTGTATCTCCTGCAAACTTGTTGAGGGTGCACTATGTCCAATCATCCAGGTAATTAATGAAGATGTTAAACAGTCTTGACCCAGTATCAACCCCTGAAGTACACAAGTAGTAACTGGCCTCCAACTGGACTTCCTGCTACTGATTACAACCCTTTGAGCATGGAAATTCAGTCGGTTTTCCAAGTATCTCACTGTCTGCTAGTTAGTCTGTTCCAATAGTTTGGCTATGAGGATGTTGTGAGAGACAGTGCCAAAAGTCTTGCTAAAGTTCAGCTAAACATCCGCTGCTCTCCCCTCATCCGTGAAGCCAATCAAGTCATTGTAGAAAGCTGTTGACATGGTCAGGAATGATTTCCCCTTCATAAATCTATGCTGACTACCGGCAGTCATCTTCCTGTCCTTCATATTTGGAAATGGCTTCAAGTAGGATTTGCTCCGGGCTTCGAGGTAAGACTGGCCAGCCTATAGTTCCTGCATTGTCCATCTTGTCCTTCTTGAAAATAGGAGTGATATTTTTTCTCCCCATAATGAGAAACCTCCTCCAGCCACCATGACCTTTCAAAGATAATTAGGAACAGCCTCACAATGCCATCAGCCAGCTCCTGCAGCACTTGTGGGTGCTTCCTCTGTGGTCCCATGGACTTGTCTGTGTCCAGTGTGCGTAAATGCTCTGTAGCCTGATTCTTCTGCACTGAGTTTTCCTTGATCTGGACTTTCCCACAGGTCTCAGGGGCATGCGATTCCTGAAAATGAGTCTTATCAGTAAAGACTGAGGTGAAGGAGGCATTGAATACCTTGGCATTTTCCTATGTTCTTTGTCAACTTTTCTTCAATTTCATGACGATGCCTTGCAAAAGACACTATATGTAAACACCACAGTTTCTAATTCTTGAGTGCCAGTGGAACCTAGTAAACATGCTTATCTATGTTAGGAAAATATGCTTGCCTATGTTAGGCAACACATTACCGCACCACAGCCCGCAATTCAGATGTACACTGGGTAGGTACATGCTAGACCACTGTATCTTACAACAAAGCAAATACCTCCCTCCATTTCTCTACGCAATTGTATAAAGTCTTTTACTCGCCTTCTGCTGGTAGATGTGGAATCGTATAAGAACACAGTAAACTCAGATTAAAGAAAAGAGAAGGCCAGCTTCGTGATCACCTGAAGAGCCTGAACATACATAAGTCTGTGGGACCTGACAAGATGCATCCCAGAGTCCCTAGGGAATTGCCTGAGGAAGTTGCCAAACCACTCTCCATGATATTTGAAAAGTCATGGCAGTCAGGTGAAGTCCCTGATGACTGAAAAAAGGGAAACATTGAACCCATTTTTAAAAAGGGTAGAAAGAAAGACCTTGGGAACAACCAACCTGTCAGTCTCACCTTTGTGCCTGGGAAGATCACAAAACGGATCCTCCTGGGAACTGTGCTAAGGCACATGGAGGACAGGGAGGTGATTTGAGACAGTCAGCATGGCTTCACCAAGGGCAAGTCCTGCCTGACCAACCCAGTGGCCTTCTATGACTGAGTGACTGCATCAGTGGACGAAGGAAGAGCTACAGATGTCATCTATCTGGACTTCTTGACATGGTCCTCCACAACATCCTTCTCTCTAAATTGGGGAGATACAGATTTGATAGGTGGACTGTTCGCTGGATAACAGATTGGTTGGATAGTCGCATCCATAGGGTAGTGATCAATGGCTCAATGTCCAGATGGAGATCGGTGACAAGTGGTGTCCCTCAGGGGTCCATACTGCAACCAGTACTGTATAATGTCTTCATCAGTGACACAGACAGTGGAAATGAGCTCACCCTCAGCAAGTATGCTGACGACACCAAGCTGTGTGGTGCAGTTGACACACCTGAGGGGCGGGATGCCATCCAGAGGGACCTGGACAAGCTTAAGAAGTGGGCCCATGTGAACCTCATGAGGTTCAACAAGGCCGAGTGCAAGGTCCTGCACTTGGGTCACAAAAACCCCATGCAGCGCTACGGGCTTGGGGACGAGTGGCTGGAAAGTGGTCAAGCGGAAAAAGACCTGGGGGTGTTGGTCAACAGCCGGCTGAACACGAGCCAGCAGTGTGCCCAGGTAGCCAAGAAGACCAACAGCATCCTGGCCTGTATCAGAAACAGTGTGGCCAGCAGGACTAGGGTAGTGATCATCCCTTTGTACTCTGCAGTTGCCTGCAGTACTGCCTTCAGCTCTGGGGTCCTCAGCACAAGAAGGACATGGACCTGTTGGAGCGAGTCCAGAGGAGGCCACGAAGATGGTCCAAGGGCTGGAGCATCTCTGCTGTGAGGACAGGCTGGGAGAGTTGGAGTTGTTCATCCTGGAGAAGAGAAGGCTCTGGGCAGACCTTAGAGCAGCCTTCCAGTACCTAAAGCGGGCTTATAAGATGGGAACAAACTTGTTAGCAGGACCTGTTGCCATAGGACAAAGGGTAATGATTTTAAACTGAAAGAGATTAGATTTAGACTAGATATAAGGAAGAAATTCTTTACAATGAGGGGGGTGAAATACTAGAACAGGTTGCCCTGAGAAATGCCCCATCCCTGGAAGTGTTCAAGGCCAGGTTGGATGGGGCTCTGAGCAACCCGATCGAGTTGAGGATGTCCCTGCTCATTGCAGGGGGGGGGTTGGACTAGATGACTCTTAAAGCTCCCTTCCAAACCAAACTATTCTATAATTATGATTCTATGATTCTGTGATTCTATAAACCTAAGTACTGCTGGCAAAACCAGTCACGCTCCCTTCATCCTCAGAGTTTTCTGGAAAGCTTTATTGGTCAGATATCACCAATTCATTTTTTTTCTGATCATTTATATTTGTTTATAAACATCGAAAGTATAATGCA